GCCAATTTACTTGGAAGAAAGACAACAACATATATTAGAAGATGAACAGAATGTTGTAAAATATGGCATTCATTAATCTTGAACATATTACAAGAGGTGGGCTCGAGGCCAATACATCGAAATAAACTAAAAACAAACTACAGTAAGATTAGGTGGATGGTGGGGGTACCTCGACAGTAGGCACCTCTGTAGCTTGAGCTTCAGAAGTGTCTTCTTCATTCTCTTCAGTCGCTTCGTCACCGACTGCTTCCTCAGTAGGGGTTTGGGAAACTTCGTCGACAAACTCCAACCTCAGTTGAGATAGGTCATTGTTTGGGTAAAGCTCCTCAACCCTCTCAATCGGTTCAGCATAAGCGAAGTTCCTCCAGTACAGGCCAAAGCGCAGGTACTTAGTGAGGTGGAAGTTAGCAATATAATCCTTACTTGCCTCTTCCCTCGCCACATTGGCCCCCTCTGTTGCCTTCTTCAGATCATCAACGTGCAACTTTATTTTGTCATCCAAAAATTTGTATGCCTCTTGGGCCCTGCTACTCACTATTAGCCTTCTCCAGGGCCTCGATAGTCACCTTTTGGTGGTTATTGGAAGTCTCCACATTCTTGGTAAGGGAGATCACCTCACATTGAGACTCGTAGACCTCCTTCTTCAAGGCCTCAATCTGGGCCAAGGCAGACTCCAACTTGGCACCATCTTCAACATTCTGGGCCTTTATCTCCTCTGTCTTGGCCCTTATTTTCTTCAATTCCTCCTCAGTGGAGGCCAACTTGTCCCTCGAAGAATTATTCCTCGTCTGGAAGTCAACGAGTGTCTCTTTACACTCAAGTTCGAGGCCTAGAGTCCTCATACTTTGGCTCACCAAATCCCTGGTGAGGTCCACGACATCACAACTTGAGGCATGCAACTACCACCGGTCAATCCAGAACTTGTAAAAACTTTCTATCGTACCTCAGACCTTCGTTGGCAGCGCCTCCAACAAAGTCGACGCCAACTCCTCTTCAAACCTCGCCAGGAAACTGGGGACTTTCCCTGAGTCCTAGCGAGCCTCTGCTTCGCTGCCTCCTCCTCAGCTTTCTCTACTGCCCTCATCGTAGTTTCTTTTCTAGCCCCCTCAGTCTCAGCTTTCCTTACCATTTCAAATTTTACTGCCTTCATGGCAAAGTCTATTAACTTTGGCTGGGGAGGGGCATCCTTACTAGAATGGGACACCGAGGTCCCGAACTTTCCAAAAGAAATGGTGACGTGGACTAGCATCCTTTTTTCTGCGACTCCTTGGGGACTTTCTCCTTTTCCTGAGGCTCTTTTGTCCTCTTCTTCTAGAGGACTTCCTCAAATCCCCTCAAAGTGCTCTCTTTGGAGAGGCGTTCCAACTTGCCTCTCACCTCCTTTGCCGCATTAGAGCTCAGCTTCAGGATAAAGGCCATATCTAGGACGGGATATTCCCTCATCTTATACTTATCTGCAAAATGTATAACAACACTGGACATCAATCAAATAAAATTTCACAAGTGTTAGCACTTCTTCTTCTCATCCTTAGAGGCCATCAGTTTGAAGTCAAGGAAATATCGGCTTCGATCGATGAAGTGGTCGAAATGACGAAGCTTTAAAAGTCGCTTGTATATATCCTCTATGACCTCGAACTCTTCCTTCTTGAGCTCGAACCTTGTACTACAATCTGCAGAACAACCAATAACAGTCAGACAAAAATTGTGAAAAACTTGGCAGAAAGTAAGCTACAATTTAAGTTGGGGCACTCACGAGCTTCGTAGTCCTAGGTCAGTATTGTACAAGCCAAGACTATGTCCCCCTCCACTGCTTGCCACCTGCCCCTCATCCAGAACCATGACTCCTTCCATCCCTTGATGAAAGAAGTAGCTCCACCACGAAAGGTGCGTGAGCCTCCCGAGGAGTGATGTAGTACCACTCATTCGATTTGTCTTTGCCTAGGACTCGAGGCTGAAAGAGGGTCTGAAAGATGTGCAGAGGCATGTCTTCCCCTATAGATACTTCTTTTGACAGGAAGTATGACCTAACGAGCTGGCTCCACCCATTCGGCAGAACTTGGGTCGGTGACAACATAAAGTTCCTCAGCACAACCCTAAAGAAGGGGTACAGAGAAAGGTGCATACCTACCTTAAACATGTATTTACTCACTGCCACGCATCCGGGCCTCGAAAAGCAGGCACACTCGTTAGCCATGGGGACTATCATTTCTATATAATGGGGGATACAATACTTCTTCCTAATTTCACCCAACCTCTTAGAGGTCATATTTGAGGCTATTCTATATGCCCACCCAATCTTGCTCATAATCTATAGGCTCTTCGACCATAGCGATGCGGCCGACCTCGAAATCTTCCCTAAGCATCTCCTCAATCCCCAACCTTGCAATGCTGACTATCTCCTTACTAGAACTAGACGCCATTTATATAGAGAAACACAAAATCACAAATTCTAATTGAAAAATTAAATACCTACAGAGGTGACCAAGGGATGGGAAACTGAGACACGTCGAAAGATGAAATTGGAGCAAGAGTCTGGACGTCGAAAATCTGAGAAAATGCAGAGAAATCAGATGATGAAGGGTTCAAAATAGAGGCTCTTAGACTTTTTTACATAGCCAAGACAAACCCCAGTCATTGGATTGAGGCCCAACAAATCTCAGCCTTTCATTTTCTTATCAAATCCAAAGCGTAGAATTCAAACTGTTTCTGAGATTGATGGCTCAGATTTAAATGTGCCTCCCACAAACCTTTCCAAACACGTCACCTTCTAGAAGCACCAGCTGTAACCATCATTGCACATTTAATGGAGCAGCCGTACATGCCTCAGAAGGTGTAACAATTCGTCTACCTTTTCTAAAAAACACGTGCAAAACATCAAATCATTGGCATGCCTATCGAAGACAATTATGACAAACGAACCTCCACTTTCAACCATATCTTCGCCAGCCTCGGCAAGTCCGATCCACTCACTGCCTTGGCTCTTTCATCACATTTCAGCCATATCTTCGCCAGCCTCGACAGCTTCGGTCCACTCACTGCATCCGCTCCTTCATCACATTTCAGCCATATCTTCGCCAGCTTCGGCAGGTTCGATCCACTCACCACCTCGGCTCCTTCATCACATTTCAGCCACATCTTCACCAACCTCGACAAGTTTGATCTACTCACCGTCTGGGCTCATTTATCACACCTTCACCAAACTGACCCGACAGTATATTTTTAACTCCAACCATGACATAAATGCCTATACTTGGACTTGGGGACCATTAGTCAAGGTGAAAAAATTCATTCCAATGAAAATGAGTTCATTTTACTCAAAGTCCATGCATTACATAAATCACTATACTTAGATTTGGGGGACTATTGTTACCTGTCGATACACTTGGCTGACCCACTGGGGCCCATGGCCCACCCATGTCGAATCTTGTAGCATCCCTGTTGAGGCCCCTAAGTCAATGAAGATTGACTAGCGCCAGCAAACAGCTCCTATGACATGGCCCAGATTCTGTGTGCCGAAGAATAATAACCGAGGTGGTATACATGGTCGATGCTCTTCATACCGAAGCCCATGACAACTAGCATCACTTCTCCCCAGAGATTCGGTCTTATACAAGGATCCTCTTTGAATGATTGATGGGATACCCATCATGGAGTGCAAGTGTCTTGTCTTGTCACAGTAGCGGTGACTCTGCTAATTAATAAATGTATAGCAGGGCTAGGTGGTCAAACTTGATGCCTATAATTTGACATGTAAATTAATAAGATGAGGCCACGTGTACTCCCAACCGATGGCCACGATCTAACTTGTAACACTATAAATACTCCCCCATGTACCCCATATAAAAGTCAATGCAAGATTCAACACAAGAACAGATACTACACAACACTTTTTACATTTTACTCTCTCTTGCAATATACACGAGTTCATACACTAGTCCTACAAACACAATTGGTAATTATTTTACAATCGTTATGCAAATGTCTTGTCGAATTTCAAACGTTCTCGTCCCGCGCCTTTGAGTCACTTCCATGCTCTTGATCTGCCAGTTCTAGACTATCCACGTGTCTTAACGCATTGGATTAGGCTTACGTGTGCGTAGGTAGGTCCGATATCTGTTGGTAACATTATTTGAGGTCAACAAAATTGATTGACTATTAACGTATAAAAAATTTATATAAAATAAGATATGATGAGAAATTATTAAATGTAAATGGAAAAAAAATACAAAATGAAGAGTTAATATATAGAGTTTGTTGAAGTGAATAAAAAAATTACTCATTAAATTTAATGATGATCTTTATTATGTATACGATGCTCTGTATAAATTGAGAATATCTTAAAAATGCTCTTATATTTTCTTTTTCGAGACCATACAACAAACTTTTTAAAAACACTTTTGACTTCCAAATAGTTGCTTTTCCTTTCTCTTTTGATGAAATTAGTTGAGTTAGTGTCCGGATGATCAGCACAAACTTTCTTGCTTCGTTTGATTGATTTGGCTCTATGATTATTTCTTTTGGATAAATCTTGTAAGATCGACTAATTCTAAAGGGTTAATCTAATCCAACAAACCAAAAATTAAACACTAAATATTACAATAGAATACAGTAATTAAGCACATCACTAAATAGATCGGACATTCGACCCTTGTTTGTCTCAACATGTAAACTTATTTATTGTTTTTCAAAATTTTAATTATAAAAGAAAAACTCAAAAATCATTATATGTAAAGCCCTAGCAAAATGCTACATGACTCAATTTAGGTAATGTAGAATCTATAGACGGTTCAAGTCTTCAAGATCTGTCAGCAAGACAGATTAATAACATGTTTGGTATTGATTTTTGAGGATAAAAAATTATGAAAAGTTAATTTTTTTATTATTTTTATTATTTTTTTGAGAATATGTAATTGAGAAAAAAGAAAAAAAAGTAAAAGTATAGATCCGTCCAGTGCACTAGAATTTAATTGCCTTTTCTTTTAGCGTGCTTATCATTGCCTTCAACTCACTTCCCAGCTGACAGCTCTGCTGATTATTGACAATTAACCAAATAGATCCCACACTTTCCTCAATTAACCCTGTGTAATTCCATTCCTAGATTACCTTTCATCGTGTTCCTCGCACCCACTGTTACCTGTTTTCCGTAATCAATTGGCCCTAGATTTTCTCCGCCAAGATTCCATCCATTGTGTCGAAAAATTTACTTCTTTTTCGCTTCAATTTTCTATTTGAACTTGATTTTCATGATCACCCATGGAAAACAAGCTGATTCCAGTTGGAAATAGAGATACAAATAAAAGCTGTCATTAAGCTAACAATTGAATCTTAAATCCAAAGAAATCTTTTCTATTAATTTCCACCAAACCCTTCTAGTTCAATCAACCACCCCATTTCTTCGAAGCCACTCTCCCCCAATTAGCTTACATTTTTTCTCTCTCTCAAGAAGTTGTGTTGACGGAGGGAGGGAAAAATGAAGCAGCTGACGGCGTTGCAGCAGCAGGCCCGCCGGAGCAACAGTTTTCGAAGTGCATCTTTGCCGTTGGACACCTCTGTGGATGGTGCAATAAAGTCTCCGGCCACAATTTTTTGGCTAGTTCTTCATGGTCTTTGCTGTCTCATTAGTCTAGTCCTCGGGTTCCGATTCTCCCGTCTGGTATTCTTTCTCTTTTTCTCTACTTCCTCCCCTTCCGCCACTACTAATCTCTACTCGGCCCTCCATACAAGATTGCCATCATCCATCACTACTTCGCCACCAGCGGTGAATGGTACAGCGGTTGCGGTTGACGGTGGGAGTCGAGTAGTGGTGGGCAGGCACGGGATACTGATACGTCCGTGGCCCCATCCAGATCCGGCGGAGGTGATGAAGGCACACCACATAATCGAGAGGGTTCAGCGAGAGCAAAGGATTCAATACGGGGTTAAGAGCCCTAGGACTGTAATTGCAATAACGCCGACTTATGTAAGGACCTTCCAGACGATTCATCTCACCGGTGTGATGCACTCCTTGATGAATGTGCCATATGATGTTGTCTGGATCGTGGTGGAAGCTGGTGGAACCACTAACGAAACAGCTGCGCTAATTTCCAAATCTGGCCTCAAGACTGTCCACATTGGGTTTAATGCGAGAATGCCAATTTTATGGGAGGACAGGCATAAAATGGAGTCTCAAATGCGATTTCACGCTCTACGGTATGTTAGAGATTGATGCCCGCTTTCTATTTTTCACTTTTAATTTGCATTAATTCAGTTCAAATTTTGCATCCATATAGTTAGACAGCACTATAGTTACTAGTAGAATTGGGTTTTCATTTAGTAAAGTGTCTTTGCAATGTGACAGATATGTTAGAGAGAAGGAATTAGATGGGATAGTGGTGTTTGCAGATGAAAGTAATATGCATAGTATGGAGTTATTTGATGAGATCCAGAATGTAGAATGGATTGGAGCGGTTCCAGTTGGGATTCTTCCACACTCTGGTGGTTCTGAAGGAGTAGAATTGTCAGCGGTGTCAAGAGAGGATACTGACAAAAATGAGAATTCAGAAATGCCAGTTCAGGGTCCAGCTTGTAATTCTTCAAACCAGTTGGTGGGATGGCATACCTTTAATATGCTGCCATTCATGAAGAGGAGAGCAAGGTATGTCGGTGACAGGGCTGTCGTTCTACCAAGGAAGCTGGAGTGGGCTGGGTTCATTTTGAATTCGAGGTTAGTGTGGAAGGATGTTGAAGATAAGCCCGCATGGGTTAAGGATTTGGATATGGTTGGTAGGGAAGGGGAGGACATTGAGAGTCCAATGTCTTTGTTGGAGAACCCTTCTGTGGTGGAGCCTCTCGGAAGCTGTGGAAGAAAAATCATGCTATGGTGGCTCAGAGTTGAAGCACGTGCAGACAGCAAATTCCCTGCCAGGTTAGTCTTCTATGTTTATTCTCAGTGTGCAGTTTTATGATTCTTGTTGCTTATGTTTTCATATGACCCTAGTTGATAACATGTGGAAGTTGACATTAGATTCAACCATGAGTACAAATGAATTTGAATGATGCAAAGTTAGATATTGGATGTTGTACATAGCATTTTAATAAACCAAATTCTCTGTCTAGTAGCTTGTGCTTTAGATGAGGCGGTTCAGTATCATAGCATTCCATGTCCCTAAATTCAAGTTTTGTCATGAAAATTGTACACCTGTTTGGTTCTTGATGAAGAAAATGAACCTGTCTGTCACTTCGACAGGCGCATTATGGCTAAAATTTAACATATAAATTTGTCCCCGATAGCTTAAGCTTTTAGATGAGATGGATCAACACAGACAAAGAAGACGTGACAATTGTATATGTATATACATTTTTTTTTTTTTATAAATTTAATTCCTTCAGATTTGAAGACAGAAATCCAGACTGATCCAAAATTGTATTATTTTTTCACTAAATATTTAGGAAGTGTGAGGAACAAGCTAAATATCTTTGGAGAAGTTTTTTCATATTTTTTTCCTGTGTGTTTGGTGTCTTTGAAGCAGCTCCCTGGAAATAGATGGTATACTAAATCCGTATTTCAACTAATATCTGTAATATTTATGTCTTCATTGACTTTACAAATACACATATCAAAAGTAAATTATTGTGAACTCGCATTACATTTCCCTGCAACATGGTGAAAGAATTTCCTTGGAGTTCATAACCTTATGCAATTTTTCAGAGGTTTATAGTGAACCAACAAATTATCTGTCATGGCAGAAAAGATAAAGCATCATTTCTATACTGGCAAAATCGATTTCACCTTAGAATTCAAATTTCTGATATTAGAATATAACAGAAATGAGTCATCATTGTCTTAATACTGAAATAGAATACGGAATTGCTCCAAGAATTACTTTGCCTGCATCCTCTGAAAGAGAGAAGCCCATATTTGGATATGTATGTAGCCGCACCTCATTTTATGCTCACCATTCCTCACGAGCAGAAATCTTTTAGCAAAGATAGGGACTGTCTGTCTCCCTATCTTGTAGCTCGTTCCAATTAGGTGTTCCGCATGGTTCATATTTTGCTAAACACGATTTTACGTGCTTATAATTAGTCTGAATTTTCACATGTATTAGTATAACCAATTCGTTAAATGCAGGTCTACCAATCACTGATAATCTCTCCAACTGATTGACCTTTATATCACCTTTGCAATCTGAATAAAATGACCCAAGTGCGTACTTCAACTCCCTTCTGCTCATGAAAGTATGAACATGCATCAAGTACAATCTAAACTTCTCTCAACCAAATTTCCCTCATTCCTTGATCTATAAGGACACTGCTAAAGTAACTTATTTCCTGTCCAGGCATGAGATGCAATCTTCACTGTTTCTTCTACTCCAAGCTAACGAGCCCTTTTGTCTGTTCCTGTCTGGTCGCAGTATCGTACCCCCTTCCTCTAAAACTGGTTATCATCATTAGTTATAACTCATTACAATTGTTTGGAATTTCCATTATTTGATTTTCCCTGCCTAATGAAACCTAAAACTAGAGGCTTAAAGGCATAAACCTGAAAATTTTCTGCCCAAGTAAACAGAGAGAGACTTATCAAAGAATAACCAAGGCGTTGGCTGATTTCAGCTAGGTGGACATTGTCCATGATTTTTTTGGGCTTACTACTCTTTTGGCTCTAGACAATTGGGCTCTTTGATAAGTAGATGTTGCAAGTATTATCTGTTTTCCATAGAAAATAATATTTTCTGTTCAAGCGTGCCATCTGTTGTTTTTCAAACCAAGATTACTCCAGATGTGAAAAGAATTAGCATTTTATGTATTCCAGAACTTGATTACATATTTTTCTCTTCTTTCCATTTTTGCTTGAGTCCTTTTTGATTCTCATTAAAGCTCATGAGATCTAATTTTAGTTTTAAAACGAGAGTGAAACAATCTTTAAAAAAGAATTCACTCTAGTTACACCTGCACGCAGCAAAACACAATATCACTATCGTAGTGAACTTTCCTTCCAGCTTATTTGCAAAATCGATGTCTGCCTTCAGATCTCCATAGTGAATCTGTCATGCTTTTTGCAACTCGATGATCATAATGAAGGGTTTTGTGTTGGTGATGGCAGCTCTTTGGAATGGCAGTGTGTTTGTGGAGTGGTAGTGTGAACTCCTGGTGATGAGTTTAGGTGGTGGTGAAAAAAAGTAAACTAGAGGGTACTTCAACAAGAAATTGCCAGCTCATATTGTGCATTTGTTTTGTGAGATACAAAAGAGTTGGGATTTAACTGTGAAGGGACAATGTTCAAGGTTTAGATAACTAGAGGGGCTGAGTAACATGTCTCCTAACCACCGGCATTGTTGAGAAATTTTATGAAACTACACGGGGTAATTTCCCCTCATATTTTTGACTCAAATTCTACATAATTCTTTTCTCACTTTCTAGAAAATCTTTGACTTTATGTAATGACCTTCATACTGTGTACATGATCCTCAAAGAACAGTTGAACTTTGACCTCCTTTGCCTTCAATATGGTCCATTGCCGGGAGCAAGTGTGTTTGCCTGGAGTTATGGGTGCTTCATACATTATTTATATTTTGTGCTCTGTTGATTTGGTGGCTTTGCCGTTTGTATACTAGAATCTAAATGCACACACCCAAAAATATTAAAGAGCTCATTTTCTTTTGGGCCATGAAATTTGAACCACCTCTTATTTTTAACCTGTTCGTCGGGCGTTTTATCAACATATGGTGCAGCATTTATTTATTGGCCTGCATATAAAAATTATATAGACGACCATGATATGCATATATAGATTTATTGCATTTACCATAGAAACTGGTCATTTCTACCCATATTCTCTCTCTTACTGTTTCCACTTTCCATACCATCCGATACATTCAGGTGGATAATTGACCCCCCATTGGATGTAACCGTCCCAGCAAAACACACGCCATGGCCAGACGCCCCTCCTGAACTCCCTACTCCTGTTGTAAAAGTGATCAGCATCCCAGAGAACACAGAGAAACGTGTGGCCAAAAGATCAAGAAAACGCAGTTCGCGGAGCAAAAGGAAGCGTGTACCCAAAGTATTAGAGGAACATGTTTCCACAAGGCATTCTGGGGATAACTAGAACCATCTCATGACTATGAGCAAGCGTTCAACCTGAGAGTACTTTGATGCCAAGACGACTATTTTTAGTCGTGTAAATAGAGGCATATGTTCCATATACCTAGCTGGTCGATAAATATACGTCTTAATTTTGCTCCATCTAATTTTCAGATTGTCTTTTCAGTACGCTGGTGTTGTGGTAGAGTTTCACTACGACCTAGCCCTGTTGCAGCTGCTGGTTGGCTGAAACATGTATTCACTGTCATACGTAACTTTTCAAAAATAGAAATCGAAGTTCTATTCTGCTGTTGGATATCATAGAGAGCTTGTAAATTGTATCGAGTCATTTCAGCAACAATAGAAATAGCACCACAGATATTGGAGCTCCTAAAGTCCTTGAGAGGGTCTACCTTTGATCAATCAATTTGCTTATAATTAACTTGAAGAACTGGATTGTGTGGAGTCTAATCATACTGTATAATTCACAGACTTTATTACGAAAACTACGGTGGTAAATGGACAAGCTGTTCCCATGAATCACCATAAATTTGTATCTTTACTTGTGTATTTTACTAAAAAACTGCTAGGGAAGGAGCACTGGAGAAATATAATTCTCACTGCATATTCAGAGAAGTCGTGAAAAGAAGCAGGCTTTCAACTTGAATTATTATAGTGTACATCTCGTGTTTTCTGACCATTACTCAATTTGCTTATTAGAGATAAAACTTTATTGAATACACGTAACTCCTCTAAAAATTCAAATTTCTAGATGGAGGCTATTAACAAACCATG